TGTATACGTCATTTTAGGAACTTTATGAACTTACTGTGTTTGTCATTTTCGACTATTCGTTCGATTTCTTCTACAGGAAGCGTACGGCGCTTTGCGTCATAGAATACGAGACGAGATGCTGTGACGCAAAGCGCCGTACAATTGTCGGAAACGACAAATACCAATTTAAAAAATTAAAAAAAAAGGACTAAGGAGCATAATTATGTAGATATCATTGAAAAATGAACGTAAATTTTAAAAATAATATTCCTTTGGCTTATTAAATTCTAATACACGACTTGACGTTCCAAATTTAAATATTTGAAATGTGAATTCCTACTCCCGTCATTCTAAGGTGGTTGTTTTTTTTTTTTATATTGGCAAAGGGCTAGTATTGCCATAATGCCATAATGACACCACTAATAAACAAAGTGTTTGTTAAAATTGAATTTTCTGTTTTATACAAAGTAAAACATTTTTTTTGAAAGATTTGTTTGTGAGGCAACCCTATTGCATGGTCCACATAGCGTATTATTACACGGAAACGTTATAAAGTCGGTGCAGGAATTTTCAGTGAGTGTTGCCCGGTGTATAATTTTATTAGCAATAAATTTGGATATACTGTGATTACTAAATAACAGATTATTACAACTCGTCGAATAACAATGAGTCACTTTTCCTGTTAACCAAAAATAATTGGTTATTTTTAAGCCACTATGAATATTCGACGATTCCCAAATTGGTGATCGATTTTGAGTGCATATCGCGCAATTTAGCGAATGGTAAACCGATTACAATGATGCATTTTATATTCGAAAGGGTTTACCTCCATTTTGGTTCTATATAATATTTTTTTATGATTGCTACACACATATAAATATCACAATGTACTTTTATTACAATTAGTGCAGGGCGCCCTCTGGTGTCAATAGATTCTAGGCTGCCTTCATTATACATGATTAAGGTTGTGTTCCACAAACAAAAAAACTTAATCATGGCAAACCATACCTAGATCGTTTAGTTCTCTTAGTCGCCTCTTACGACACCCACCGGAAAGGAACGGGTGGCCCATTCTATGCCGGGATCACCCAACAATATAAAATATATGTAAGTACTTTTTATATTAAAATTACCTGTCGCCAACGGAAAACTCCCACCAAAGTTTCCTGCACAAACAAGTTAAGATAACTGACTCCGATAGATTAAGTAAGAGTTCTGTTCGCAAATAAGGGACGAACTTTTTTTATTTTTTTTTTCTCATCGACTTCGTTCTCTCTGAGAGCTTAGACGTGTTTATTTCGACTTTAACACCATAGATTATAGATAGAGTAGCTACATACAAATGCTTCGCTTAAAACAGGTAAACTTTTTTTTATCTATGTGTACATAAATAGGGTTTTTTTTTGTTGGATGAAAATGGATTGGTAACCCCGCCTGCGCTAACGGGATACGCTGGCGAGGCACCAGTGAAGGGTGATCGATGAGAATGAAAACAGGCCAGTTTGCCCATTATGATGAATTCATCAGGAATTAATCATGATAGTTTCCCGGGGGAACCGCGTGGAGGTCGACCTAGTTAGGTATGTTGCTAGCAATGGGATTTTTAGTCTCCATTACTAACAATCCCTTTCCCCCGCGTAAATAGGGTTACCAGTATGTACAATTAATATTAAGTATGTGGAAGAAATCAAGTCAAAAAAGCAATATCTATATATATATATTTTATTATACAACTTAGAATGGCAAACAAGCTGACGGCCCACCTGATGGAAAGTGGTAACCGTCGCCTATAGACATGAGCAGTACTATGGACATAACAAAGTGTACTGTTTCGCCCATTATATACCCCATACGTTGCCATCCCTGAGGAATCAGGTGTTATTTCTCTGTACCCTATAAATTCACTGCCATATCCCACCTTTCAAACCGAAACACAGTAATGCAAACACAACTACTTCACGGTAAAAACACGAACGGTACAGAGGTGTCCAAGCAAACGACTTCTGTATAAAATCTCCATCTGGTAATATTGTAGTATGTGTTATTGTGGTATATTTGTTATCCAAAAAATAATATTGAATAGTAAGCTTTTAACATATTCGATAATAAATATGCGACCAACATGGACGATATCAGGCAGATCAATGAAACAGTTGATATCAAAAGGTGAAGAGACTCGCAGAAAATCGTATCGAGGAGGCAAAAGCTCCACCGACAAGTGTGCAGCTCTTAAATAGAATACAAATATAGATGGACGATATCGAAGTATGTGATGATTTTTTTCCGCCATCAATATTCTGAGAAACCCAATATCTATATATAAATATCTATACCAATAAAGATATTCATATATCGAATCGGTATCTATATTATCGAAGCTTAATTATAAGATTAAATTGAAAAATTAAAATGATACAAAATTCTTATGAATACGAGTATATTTGAAAGAACAAGATAAACAATGCATAACGATTCGTCATGATATGTATTTTTATAAAATGTTTTAAAACGAAATGAAATGAAATGAAATGAATTTATTTTGCTAGAATGTAGGTAGTTTTCGATGAAAGAGGTTTACATTTCCCATATACATTCTGCCTCTATGTCGGCGTGCAAATTATTAACAATATGAAAAAAATACATAATTCTACATTATATTTCCCCTTATTAGTCATACTACTTAACACACGCATAATTTATTACAGTAAATAGAAAAGAAAACAAGAGCCAAAGCGTCAATCACGTCTCCAGTATATATATATATATATATATATATATATATATATAATATAGATTTAAAACCTAAATTACTGAACTGATTTTGATAAAATTTCTATGGGACCAATCCCATAAGGGGACTTACCAGTAGCTGGTGTACTTGGCAGGCGGGTTGGCAGCTGTAGTTAGGCTTTAGTGATATTTTGAAAAAGACGTTGCTGCCCATCCCTCGCCATCCTTTAATCACCTCTTACGACACGCACGGGAAAGGAAGCGGTGGCCCATTCTATGCCGGGACTACATAGAACGATTGTTATCAAACTAGTTATTTATTTATTTATTTATCTATTAATTATGTTATTTGCCTTTCTCAGTTATAAATGACACATAGTTTTGTTAAAACGTGACCTGATTTTATTACATTTTCCATTCTTCAACACAATATAGATTAGAACAAAATTAAGCTTTTACATAGCACGCTAGAAACACGGGGTCACGCGGGGTGATATTACCAAGCGAAATTCAATATTGATAAAGCAATTTATTTGTATTTATAAACTAACTTTTGTCCGCAACTTCATACGCTTTTAGAGGAACAATTAAAGTTGATGTTTTTTTTTTTAATTTAGTATTGATTAGCTAAGTTTTTATATATAGGTATCATGTGATTTTATTTTTATATACACTATAAAAATGACAAATAATAAGCTTACAGCCCATTTTATGGTAAGCGGTTACCATAGACGCCGGCAACATTAGGGGTGTCACGTGCGTGTTACCGGCCCTCAAGATAACGCACTTTTTTGAAGAACCCCATACAGTAGTCTCTATTTAAGGTGTTTATCTTTGTATATTAATATCTTTGCCTTTTTTATTACTCTGTATACGTCGACAGTGTATAAGTAGAGAACTGAATAACTCAGTATTTGTAGTTAGGTTGCAAAATAATCGCTTTTTTTTAAATAAATTTTTTTATTACAAAGGTAGAAAACCTCAAACGATATAACGTACATAATTTCACAGTCAGTATTTATAAAAATGACCGTGTGGTCCCGGCATAGAATAGGCCACCCCTTCCTTTCACGTAGGTGTCGTAAGAGGCAACTAAGGAAGGGCAACAGATGGGCAGCAACGTCCCTCTCAAAAATCTCTAAAACCTGACTGCGGTTGCCAATCCGACTGCCAAGCATGGCAACTAATAAGAACCCCCCAAGGGGTTATTTCTACTATGTTCAACAATGAATAGTTAAAGTTATACATGATGATGATGATTTCTAAAAATATCCTCTCGTAAAATTATTTTCGATCAACTTCCAAAAAGGGAGAGATTCTCAATTCGGTAGTAACACTTTTTATGTTTATTACCTTATAACTCCGCCATTTATAAACCAGTTTGAAAAAATTCCTTTTATTAATCTTCATTTTTTACTTTCAAATTGGTGCCATTAGAATTTTATCAAAATCGGTTCAGTATTTCGCTTTTTTAAATCAAAATAACTCGTTTAACCACTATTAAAGTCGGTATTGGGACTGGAAGAGATCTCTGTTAGAGATAAGTCCATCCATAACATTTATAAATGCGTTAACAATGTACTTTACAGGTGCAATAAAGAATATATTTTATTTGTGAAACAAAATTTTTATTTTTTTATTTATTTTGATTCGATACATATAGCGCGATTCAAATATACACATAGACAATGTGATGGCTTAACAACTAGAACTTATTAAATCTTAAGATCAGACCAGAAAAATAAAAAAGTACACTAGTTATTCTGTGTAACAAATAAGTGACAATAGCCACCTAGCAAAGTTAGTTTTTTACATCAAAATAGACAGTTTAATAAATGTACAATTGATTTAATTATACATTTATTAAATATCACAAAAAAGCAAATGGCTACAATTTGAAAATTACACAAATTGTAGCATTTACTTCTCCATTTACGCCGGCAATATTACATAACTGTACAGAAATTAATACGACATTTTGACACAAGTTATAAAGTCATACAAATGACTATTAGAAAACATTTCATTTAAAACCATATCACGATTCTGTGTGGCAATAAAGTCAATAAAGTCGATCCATTTAATCGGGCCCTTTGTAAATAAATAATGTAATTACTTATCCATGGTTGGGATAGAGATATTAACCCTGTAACACCAACAGAACCTGTGTAATTTATTTAGAACACATAAAATGTGTGATCTCATTTACAAAAATAAAAAAAGAAACACTTTCACCAGCCTTTAAAAAAGGCATGTCATTATCCCTAAAGAAATAGGTGAAGTCTCCTTACCTTTTTTCGTTGATGATCTTTCACACGCTGAAGAAAATGTAAAATTCAATTTTATGTTAATATTCTAATAAAGGTAATTCTATAGAAAACACTGTATATAATTTTTTACACACAAAAGTTATGGAAAAACTAGTTAAAGTACTACATTTAGCACGTCTCAACGATACACACTTTTCGCACACGAAAAATCGCCTAACCCAATATATTTCGACGTTCACTCTGCACGAGAGTCGAACGAGTACTGACTATGGGAGAGTGATGAAACACCTCTGTTCCTAATTTAAATTTTCCAGGAGAGCGCATGTCAGAATTTCAGCAACAATATTTGCAACCTTAAAAATATCAAGCATAAGTATTATCATTCCATACACAATATAACACATACGACGTTTGAAACCCAAAAACGCTGGCAGGTAACCATTGCTACGAGTTCAGAAAATTCGATTTACTTCTTATAAGGGAATAATTAATGATGTTTTTAATTATTTATTAATCGTTTTAGGTTCGTTTAAAAGAATTTTGTTGCTCATCCGTGTACCTTTTCAAGTGCTTTGAACCTTCTGGTTAGCCTATACTCCTTTTCGGCGGTTTCAAAGCAACTTTGATATTTCGCCACTGTCATAATAAATTCATTCACTTCTTAACTCTGCAAGGTTTCAGCACCTGTTTTAGAGTGCGCTAAATTAAATCACTGAGAATTTTTTCCACGGAAAAAAAATCAACGAGTCCAATCGGCTCCTTGGAGAATAGAATGAATTTAGGAACGTAATGTACTAGGATTTGTCTTGCTTTTCTTATTTTATTTTATTTTTTTTTTAACTCAAATTTCGTTGACTATTTATCTTTAGGACAACTTCGAGTTTACTATACTACCCCAACTTATAGACTCCAAAGGTCATTTAACCAAAGCGACAGTACAAAAATCGTTTGTATGGGCACCTCTGTCCCAATCGTGCTTCTGCCGGTAAACAGCTCTTCCTGCATGACTATGTTTCGGTTTGAAAAGTAAAATATGACAGTGAAGTTACAGGATAAGAAGACATAACACCACAGTGCTCAGGAATGGCACCGCATGAGAGGTACCATGGGTGTCACAGAATATTCTGTGACGTCCATTTTTCTCTTCACGTTTATAAGCGACAGTCTCCGCGTCTGTTCGTTTACCATTTTATGTTTCATAAAGAGATCAAATCTGGCAGACGTAAAAAACATTTATTTCATTATTATACAAAATAAAGATTGTTTTCCAAAAAAAAAAAATAATTTAATTGTGGCAAAATTAGTTATTTTAAATTAAAAACTAAACTACTAGACCGACTTTGATAAGATTTCTATGTTAATTATACTTTTAGTTCGGTACAATGTAAAAGTATAATTATCCTTTCAAGTAAAAAATAAATATTTTCCAAATCAGTTTATAAAGAAATAAAATCAGACATGAAAACTGCCTCCCTTTTTTCAATATTCAAATTCAATTACGGTTTCATCATAGGACAAGTCTCATGCTTGATACAACTTAAAATGGCAAACAACTGTCAGTCAAATGGTAAACGTCGCCAAGAGACATACAATAAATACCATAGATGCCACAGAACCATTCTTTGGAATCAACTTCCAGCAGCAGTATTTCTGAACCGATACGACAACATAACCTTCATGAAAAGAGCATATTCCTTTTTAAAAGACCGGCAGCAAACCTGCAATGCCGTAGGTGTTGTGGGTGATCATGGGCGGCGGTAGTCACTTACCATCAGGTGAGCCGCATGCTCGTTTGCCCCCTGCGTTGTAAAAAAAAAATATACTGTGATACCTTTAATACTCCTCACCGTTGATACTAGGTACTAAGACTTTATGGGGTCGAGTAGTGCCGGCATAGAATTCGTTCAAAATTGGTTTCAATATCGCATAATAACATACATATGTACATACAAAATCATAAATGTGTTGAGAAGCATTTTGAACTCGATAAAATAGTGCAAATGAATTACGAGATCTTTATAAAACTACTCACTAAGAAAAGTTCCAAAGTCGCAAAAGAACGTTTTTATTTACAGTTTTATTCGCTGCTCATGAATAAGGGTCCCGGATGGTCCCGGCACTAGTAGAGCAATCTCAATAAAAAGTAGATAGATAGATTACAATAGTAAATTTATTATAAACACAAACAATTACAAGAAAAGATTACGCTGATAAAACAATGGGCGGTCTTATCGAGAAGAGCGACTTCTGGATGGAGAAAAGTAATTAAAAGTACATTTTGCTCTGCAAAAAAAAAAACAGTATTCTTAGTAATTTTACTAATATAATAAAATTGTAATTAGAGAATGAGGCTTAATTCTGAGTCACCATTTCTTTATAGTCTTTTTTTAATATTAAAATTTCAATTCGATATTAGAGCTCTTTACTATAATGTCGGATACGAGTATAAACTAATTTTCTAAAAGATTTAAGTCCAAGTTATTATAAATTCAGTTTACAACAGTCCATGAAGCAGTAATTTCACGAAACTATCAAATTAATATAATTCGGTTCGGAGATAAATTCACAGAAATGGCACTTAAGAATCGATCCCAATGTCTGTACATAGAATGTATTTAAGAAAAACTTATATGAAAGATTTGAACAGGACCAATAACAGCCAAAATAATATTTTTTTGAATTCTGTCTCTCTATCATACATTTATTTCGGTGTCACATTAAAATTACTACACCGAAATGCATGAGGTTTTCACAGTCGTGTTTTTGAAAGTAAAACAAAAAATGTGGTATATAATTGATTTTAATACGCCATCTATAAGTGGTATATCTCGTTTATTTTATTACTACACAATAAAATTTGTAGAAATGACGAGCTTAGTGCTATATGGCGTTCTCTATCTGCTAACCATTAGATAAAACAGAAAGCGTTTAAGGGCAATGATAGAGAATACGTATTGTATAACCCTTAAATATCTGAAGTTTCAAATTTGATACCGGGGTTATAAATCGCATTGGACGCCTACAATCGATTTTATTTTAATATTTGGCTGTTTACATGTTACCAAAAGTTTTTGTTTTTTTTTTTTCAAAATAAATATATATCGTTTTGATTTTTTTACTATTTTTCCCTATTAGTAAACACAGTAAAGGGTACACTTATAGTTTTTTTTATTTGATTTAAAAAATCAGGCTTTTAAGGGATAAAAAAATATTCTCGTAAATCTAATATATTTACTAATACATATTTAGAGCTAAATTTGTTAATTCAACAAATATTTGATGAACTGGAATCTATCTTTTCTTTTATGGAACTTAGAATGGCAAACAAGCTGACGGCCCACCTGATGGAAACTGATTACCCTCGTCTATAGATATGAGCAGTACCATGGACATATCAGAATATACCGTTTCGTCCATGATACCCCCACATGCGTTGCCATACCTTAGCAGTCAGGTGTTATTCGTCTGTGCCCTATAAATTCACAGCCATATCCCACCCTTCAAACCGAAACACAGCCATGCAAATACAACTGCTTTACGGTAGAAACACGAATAGGACAGAGATGCTCAAGCAAACGACTTTTTTACAAAGTCTCTCTCTGGTGGCCTATCTTCTAAATAATTGGTAAAACTCATTTGTTTTCATTCTGAAATCATCGCGTAAAAAGTAGCGAGCAAAAAGTTAGTAATATAATAAACATTGATTAGTGATCTGTTAGTAAGATTATCTTAAAAATAATCAAACGCCGATGAAAGACGAGGATTTTACTTCGATAATAAAAGCAGATTCAATCAAGATAAAATTAATAATCACAAGTGTACAATCTCTCGTGATTTATATGGATTGTAGGGACGATACGAAAGTAAAACAAAGTACTAAGTACAACCGGTGAAGAAAGAATGGAGACGAAGTAAAGCTCACTCACCTTGCTATCTGAGGGCTCATTATGAAATGTTCTCCTAAATTTAAGGGCTGAGCGAAATACAAATTTCATGTTAAAATTACATTATACATAGCATTTAAAAATATTGAAGATATTAAAATATCGTTCCTTTGGACTTTTATGGTAGGAATTGTTACAGACGAAATGTTAAGCTCCATTTACTGGACCGTTTTCGGTATAAAACAAAAACACTAAGTCCGAAAATTTTGCATTTCATTTCATGGTAGATCCCCTACTTACAACTATTCAAGTCGGGCACCAACTATTCTACGTTCAGGATTCTCACTTCCACCATGAAGGAAGATATAAAATGATGTGATTAGATTTAATGTTCTGAGGACCTACCATGAAACGTTTTCCGAAATTTCGGAGCCAAACGAAACACAAATTTGATGTTAAAATTACATGATACATGCCGTTTGAAAATATCAAAAATGTTAAAATATTGTTCCTTTGGACTTTTATGATAGGATGTATGATGAACGTTTAACTCCATTTATTGGTCCGATTTTGGTATAAACAAAAACACGAAATTGAGTCCGAAATTTCGGAATTTCATTTCATGGTAGACCCGCAGATATTACGCCGATTACGAATCCAGCATGAGACTTACATGCGCTTTAGACGACGACCTTGTTGCCACGAGACGTTAAACAAGCAGACTCTAAGTAAGTCTATGTACTCTCCCTGACTTTTACAGACCAAAAAATGGAAATATTCGAAACGATCTTGCAAGAGAAACTGTCATTAATACTTAATATTGTACAAAATAAATATATCGCCATGTATGCCCCGGTATAGAATGGGCCAGTCCTTCCTTTCCCGTGAGTGTCGTAAGATGCGACTTAGGGAGGACGAAGGATGGGTAACTGCATCCCTCTTAAAATATGTCTAAAAGCCTGCCAAACGTGGCAAATACTGACAAAACCCCCCTTATGGAGAAGGCTTATGTCCAGCAGTGGACACTTAATGGTTGAAATAATAAAACTAAACATAAAGATGGAACAACAAATAATATCACTATAATATTACGAAGCGAAAGAGGTTTGTTTGAATCGAAGCATTCAAACCTCTTAAACTGTTATAAGATAGACGATCTATCAATACAGAAGAAACACGTACGGGATTCCACAAGGAAGCGTCCTTGGCCCGATACTATTCCTTGTTTATATTAATACTCTGTGTAACACGGCACAAGAGGTAGGATTAGTCGTTTCATATGCTGATGACACAGCGGTTATTTTCACAGGAGAGACTTGGGAACAAGTAAGGTTGCGCACTAACAGTGGACTGACTAAAATAGCTGA